CAATAAAGCATGACTAGATATTCTATGTCCATTTTCAGTTCCTCTAAAAGTTTCTTTATCCATAATCCTTCACATATCCCTTGTACAACTGCTCTGAATTTTGCCTCATCGCTACTTCTTGCTACTACATTCCGTTTCTTACTTCTCCAAGTTACCAAATTTTCCGAAACAAAGGCAGTAGCCAGTAGTGGATCTTCCATTGATCCAACCCGGTCTAGGTCAGTGAATACTTCAACCCATTTTCCTTTATTTTTTTTTTAAGAATAACCCTTTCCCTAATGTTCATTTTAGATATCTTAAGATTTTGTAAACAGTTTCAAAGTAAGCCTCTTCAGGTGCATGCATATGTTTACATTGCTTACTGCGAAGGCAATGTCATGTCTAGTATGTGAGAGATAGATTAGCTTACCAACTAATCTTTGATATCTGTCCATTTCCACTAGTTTTCCTACATCCTTTATTTTTGTTGTCTCAAGAGGAGTATCGCTTGGTTTGCATCCCAATATGCCAGTTTCAATCAAAAGATCAATATTGTGAGACACTGATGTCTTTCTTTGATCTTGCAATCTCCATTCCCAAAAAATACCACATTTGTCCCAGGTCTTTTATCTCAAATTCGGTGGCCAAACACTTTTTTTAATCTTTCCATCTCCTCTAGGTTGTCCCCTATTAGAATTATGTCATCAACATAGACAATTAAGATTGTCTTCGCACCATCATTAGATTGTTGGAAGAACATAACATGATCAGACTGCCCTTACTGATATCCTTGAGTTTTCAAAACCTTTTCAAATCGATCGAACCATGTTCTGGGTGACTGTTTGAGACCATATAGAGACTTCTTGAGTTTTCACACTTGATTTTCATCATTACCTTTGTTAAAACAAGGTGATATTGTCATGTAGACCTCTTCTTCTAGTTCCCCTTCAAGAATTCATTTTTAATGTCTAGTTGTTTGAGGGGCCAGTCAAGATTCACTACTAAGGAAAGGAGGACTTGAACTGTATTTAGTTTTGCCATTGGTGCAAATGTCTCTGTGTAATCAATGCCGTATGTTTGAGAATACCCTCTGGCGACTAGACGAGCTTTGTAGCGTTCTATATTTCTCCATTGGCCTTATACTTCACATTGAAGACACATTTGTATCTTACTGGTTTCTTTCCCTTTGGTAGTCTTACAACTTCCCAAGTCCCATTTTTCTTTAAAGCTTTCATTTCCTCCATTACTGCCTCTCGCCATGTTGGTAATTCTAGGGCCTCTTGAATATTTCTCAGAATGTCTATTTTATCCAGATTAGCTGTAAAAGCACGAAATCTTGCAAATACAATATTATAGGACATAAATTTTGAGGTAATGTGAAGAGTACATGACCTAGTTTGTTTTCTGAGAGCAATGAATAGATCATTATCTAGAGATGTGATTTTACTGAGGTTCTCATTAGGTCCTACCACCAATTCCGACTCTTTTGGTGCCTCAGGTGTGAGAGTTTCCTTATACTTTGATTTAGGCTTCCTTGAGTAAATTAGAATCTCCTTGTTGCTTTCTTGTCCAACATCTCCCCCTGAAGTCAAGTTTTCCTTTGTATATGGCATATTAGAAGGTAAGGTGACATGTTCTGCATATGAGTCAGAAGGAGATAGATTAACGTCTAAATATTCATGTTCCTATTCCAAAAATCGATCTTTACTTAGAATCTCCCCCTGAAGAGAATGTTTTTGGAAGTAAGGTGTGTTTTCAAAGAAGGTGACATCAAAACTGACAAAGAGTTTGTTGGTGAATGGATCTTAGCTTTTATAGCCTCTTTGAGTTCGTGAGTACCCAATGAAGACACACTTGATTGCACGTGGCTCAAGTTTGTTCCGATGATGAAAGTGTACGTGTACAAAAGTAGTACTACCAAATACCTTGAGAGGTAGGTTTGAGTGAAGATGAAAAGTCGGGAAATGTTTGTGGAATCTCTGTATAGGTGAGTCAGACGAAAGAATATGACTAGGCATGCAGTTGATGAGGTATGTAGACGTCAGAATGACATGTTCCCAAAAATTTTTTTTGCATGTTTGCAGTGAACATTAAGGAACGAGCAACTTCGAGTAAATGTCTATTTTTGTGTTCAACAATCCCATTTTGTTGGGGAGTGTTGACACAAGAACTTTGGTGGACGATTCCATGTTTTATTAGGTAGTCTTGCAAAGTGTTATTGAATTCTGTGCCATTATCAGTTTACAAAATTTTAAGTTGTATTTGGAATTGGGTTTGAATCATAGAGTGAAAGTTTAGAAATACAGATGGAACATCAGTTTATTCCTTTAGTAGGTAAACCCAACAAACACGGGTGTGATCGTCAATGAATGTGACAAACCATTTTGTGTGAGTATAATTAGTGGTATGGGAAGGTCTCCATAGATCACTGTGAACATGGCGAATGGTGTAGATAGTTTATACGTGGACTTTAGAAATGATGTACACTGATGTTGAATTACAGTTACTAAGTCGACCTAGTTTACTCACATTAGCTTCATCAAACTAATACAGTCCCCCACATTCTTTAGCACTGCCAATCGTCTTCCTCGATGAAAGGTCCCTAAATACACAATGAGATGGAAAGAAATTAGCAGAGCAATTGGAAGTTTTGATTAGTTTACTAATAGATAGCAAGTTGCAGGACAAATTTGGGACGTGAAGGACAATATCAAGTGTTATAGACTCAGAAATTTGGATACTCCCCTTTCCTGCGACTGAAGAGAGGGGGCCATCTACAATTTTCACCTTAATATTTTCCAGCGCAAGTCGAGTATGATGAAAATAATTGATATGAATCCGTCATGTGATCAGATACACCCGAGTCAACAATCCAAGAGGTTTTAAATTTTGACGTGCTTAAGGCTTGCAGGAAATTACCTTTATGAGCTAAGGAACTAGAAGGACTTTTGGTAGAAGACTGACCAGATGTGTGAAGGCTAGAGAATATTTGATAGAGTTGCTCCATTTGTTCGGAATTGAATGCACCACTCGAACCGGAATTTTCTGTCTCAGTCCGGTATCCTCGACTCCGAGTATTTTTCCTTGGTTTCCAATCGATGGGTTTTCCATGAAGTTCCCAACATGTGTCTTCTTTGTGTCCTGGCCTACGGCAATGTTTGCACTATGGTCGTCCTCGTTGTTTTTGAGTTAGCCCATTTGTAGGCCCTTTTAAAGAAAAACCAAATCCACCATCACCATTTGATTTTTGAAAAATAGGTTCCAGGCACATGGTTGATTTTTCCAGGCCCACTGTTGTTTTTATGTTACTCGGACTTGGCCCACCCGATTTAGGCCCAATAAGCCTTTTAAAGTCCGGTCCACCAATTGTAGCATTAAGGGCCGACATCTCTCCACCTATAGAAGCTCTGATTCCACCTCCAAAAGCTCTGATCGTCTCCTTCATCATTACCCGTTGCCGCACTTTCTCCAGACGAACTTCCGTGAACACCTATCGAGTAGGCGGAAGTGGTCGTCGACCCAAAATCCGACCTCTAACATCGTCTAATTCACGGTTCAGCCCCGCTAGAAACTCATATACCTGCTCATTCTCCTGCTTTTTGTACAGAGAACAATCTTTCGGGCACTTCCATTCTTATTCTACACTCAGATCGAGTTCTTGCCAAAGATTCACCATTTCCATGTAATAATCAGTTACGTCTATGGGTCCTTGTGGAGTTTGCCACAATCGAGCCTTAATTTTGAATATATGTGATGAATCTTCAAAATCAGAGTAGTTTTCTTTCACTGAATCCCAGACTTCCTTTGCAGTAGGGAGGAATATGTATGTTTTCCCAATCGCGGGCATCATGGAATTCACTAACCAGGCAGTCACCATTGAATTTTCGGACTTCTACTTCTATAATAAGGCAGCATCTGTTGGCCTCTTGGTTTCGCCAGTACGATAGCCTAACTTCCCTTTTCCATCAATTACTAGTTTTATGCGTTGGGCCCATTCATGGTAGTTTCTTCCATTCAACTTTTCCACAGTGAGTTGGAAGGAAGATGATTCAATTCCATGAGAACCAATTGAATGACCAACCTTTGTTTCAAAATTGGATGTTTTGGAGGTCGTCGACTCCCTACTGTGGCGGGGAAATCCGCCATTGTTATGAGTGCTTCTATTGAGATAAAGAATTTAATTACACAAAACCTACTTCAACCTATTTATATATTACACGAGGTGGCTATGGAAAGGAAAAGTAAATCTTCTAACTAAGGAAAGAAAATTACAAGTCTCCAATTAACTAAACATAATAATCTTAATTGATACAGTTTCCTACAGGTAGAATGCAATAGTCTTCAATAGTTTAGAGTCCTCATGACGACTTTATTTCCACGATATTGCATCTATAATAGCTTTGATTTTTGTTGTTGTCAGTTCAAGTTTCGAAACGAGAATCGGGTGACCCACTCGTTAGTCTCCCGGTGAATTTACATTGAGTCAATGTATTCCTCGTGTTGTATCCTCCATAATTTTACACGATCTATTTTAATAAAGTTTGCAGGGCTTAAAAGGTTTGGATTAGACACATCCTATACAATCCAAAGTGTCATTTAACCACAATTAAAGGGTGGATAATTATATATTTGGACAAAGTCACCAACAACAATAAAAAAACTATGACAAAGGCAAGAAGCTTCAGCATCACACGCTTTGTCCAGCGTTGTTTGTTTACCAAAGCCAAAGGGTTCGTTTCTTGTCTGAAGGAGAATGATATTTAACTTTTGCCCACATATCACAAATACCCAATCCCACCAAAAAATCCTCGACTCTTCGCTTTCCTTACTCTTTGTTTCTTGGATATTTTCGCTCTTTCTGGGTATTCTATAAATTTTTGGAATTTCGCTTTTGGGTAAGTTTTTGTTGAACTATTAGATAAGTAACCATATATTATTCATTTTTTGGGGGAAATTTAATGCGTTATTTTGCTTGATTTTTAGGTGGTGTTTGAACTCATTGTTTATACACGAAAAATAGTATGATCCCGCAATATGGAAGTGGAAGTGGAAGTGGAAGTAGAAGTGCTAGCTCGAGCTCGAGTTTGAATAGCAGTTTGCAGGATACAGAGGATGATCATACGATTGCTACAATATTGGCAGAAGAAGAAAGATTAAAAAATGATGGCAGACTCGGCAAGAGGCTTTCTCACTTGGATTCGATCCCGGTATTGTAATATATTATCATCAATTGCTCAATTATTTTCCCCTTATTAAATGTTGATAATGGAAGTTTTTGTTGCATAAAAGGAGATTATGAACTTGAATTTGTTGTCTGTTATTATTGATAGTAGTTGATCTACACTTCAATGCCTTCGTTGATTATCATTCTCATGTGATTGATGATTTTTCTAATTTTTTCTGTTTGAAAAAAAATACTAAATGAAGTGATCTTTCTGTAAAACTTGCAAGAATTTGCATATTGTAGAGAGGTGGTGGGAGTGGCATAAGATTGCACCGGTCAACTAATAGAATGTGCATATTGTTTTAATGGGATTCTGGAACAAACTGCATTTTATACTGTTAAAATAACATATAATGTGTTGGGTGTTTTTGGCTATACATACACTTACAAATTCACGAATTTGCAGCACACGCCTCGGGTAATTGGTGATATACCTGATCCAAATGATGCAACCTTAGACCACGGGAGGCTTTCTGATAGGTTATATTTTTTTCTACAGTTTCTTTCTCTCTCTCTTTTTTTTTTCATTCTGATTTTTCGTGTACTTGTTACTCTTTATTATTTGAGGATATTTTTTAAGAACATTTAGGGATAGCGAAATTGAATATAGCTACAATGTTTACAACTCTTTTAAGTATCTCTTTTTTCAACAATCCTATAATAGCCTTGCCCTTCTTTTCCACTCACTTCCACTTCTATTCTCCGTCTTAAAATAAAAGCATCCGTACAACTGCCTTAGAGCCTCTGTCAGTGAGATAAAAATAAATAAATAAAATAAAATAAATAGGAGAAAAAGAAAGAATCGGCTCTACGAATAACAAAAGAAAGGGGAAGTTGGTAGGAAAGTTATTGCAATTATTTGTTTACTATGAATTCATTCATTTACTAAAGGTGATTTTTTTCTCAAATAACTCTGATTGTTACAATAATGGCCTATTTGATTTTATTTTATTTTCCATGGAACTGGGATTTTAATTTCCTTTTCCCACCAATTAACATGTTTGATGAGTAAAATTTGGAGGGGAAATGGTTTTCTTGGCCAAGGCTCACGCGCCTTCTTTTCCATGATTTTTGTGGTGGGAATTGATTTTCCAGTTCACTGCCATTTTTTTGTTTTTGCAATGGAAACAAATTTCATAACAAATTGAAAAAAAAAAAAATTTACTTTAATGGACAATTTCCATGTAAAACAAAATCAAACAAACACTAATTTTATAACTAATTGTGGAAAAAAATATCACTTTAATGGACAATTTCCATGTAAAACAAAGCTAAGCGAACACTAAATTTAAAAATTTTCCGGGTGGAAAATTATACCAAGCAAACACACTTAATTAACAATTCCCTGCAAAAACAATTTCTAGGCAATTACTTTCTCTGGAATTCATTTTCTTTCCACCAATTTTCCACCATTGCAATCAAACGCACTATAATAGTTTTAATGGGTCTTTTTTTCTCCATCTTTCTTCTTCAAGAACTTCTTGACGATATTTAAGAAGTACACATCTTTTCCTTTTCTCTTTTCGCGTGTTTGTTGCCTATGGAGGATGGAGGGGTTTCTGAACCTGGTCATATGGATGTGAATCGTTGTAGAAAGGCTTTCATGCCCTGGTAGGATAGTGATATTATTGTTTGATCCTTCGTACCTTTGTTTTTACTTTATTGGATACCTCTTTCTGGAGAGGCTTAAAAATTATACCAAGCAAACACACTTAATTAACAATTCCCTGCAAAAACAATTTCTAGGCAATTACTTTCCCTGAAATTCATTTTCTTTCCACCAATTTTCCACCCTTGCAATCAAACGCACTATAATAGTTTTAATGGGTCTTTTTTTCTCCATCTTTCTTCTTCAAGAACTTCTTGACGATATTTAAGAAGTACACATCTTTTCCTTTTCTCTTTTCGCGTGTCTGTTGCCTATGGAGGATGGAGGGGTTTCTGAACCTGGTCATATGGATGTGAATCGTTGTAGAAAGGCTTTCATGCCCTTGTAGGATAGTGATATTATTGTTTGATCCTTCGTACCTTTGTTTTTACTTTACTGGATACCTCTTTCTGGAGAGGCTTTCCTTAATATATTCAGCTGTCATTCAGGATGACAACATATGGACTAGCCGAATTACAAATCCAGGGAGATGGGAATTGCCAGGTTTGTCTCTCTTGACTAATCTATTACACTTGGCTAATTGAATACTAATGAGTTTATGAATTTTCTTGTTTCATAGAAAATGTGAATAGTATCTAGTTATGGCAATGTTTATCAGTATTTTTTATTGGAAAACAAGGATACATTGAAAATATTACCATGCGTTGGATAGTTTTCTTCAAATTAGATCAGTTTACAGTTACCTTTCGAGCATGTTTGGTAAGCTTGAAAATAAGTAAAAGTCACTTTTTATATATTGTTTTCAACCTTAGCAATTATAAGAATAGTTTATTTTAAAGCTTATTTAATTATTTCACTTTTTAAGCTTAGTTAATCATGCTCTTAGTTATGCAATACCATTAGCATCTTATTTTGGTGTCCATATTTGGAACCTGATTGACTTTTATACCTGCAAGGCCATTCTATGGTTTTGTACATTCTAATGAATGACAATCAAATCCATTTTAGTTTTTATAATTTATTTTATACTTTTGTTCAATATATTTTCTTGTTCTATATCACTCTCCTTGGTATAGTTGTAATTAGTTGCTTGACTTACTTGACAGTTTCGAGCCCTCGCAGATCAGTTGTTACAGAATCCCGACTACCACAAGTATGTAAGAAAGCAGGTCGTCAAACAGGTATAGTTCAAATAACTTCTCATGCATTGACTTGTTCCCATCCTATTCACATGGCATCATCAAATGATAAAAGTCTAGGATAAGAATCTACAAAGTACTAGAATGCCATTATCTACGATCCTTTATTCAGCTAGCTGTTATGTTAGTTGTAGTGAGCCTTCCCTCCTCCTCTCGCTTCGGTAAGATTTAGAAGTACTTTTGATGACCTGGTCGAGAAAGTACGATGCATCGGGTTACTGTAGTGATTAATGAGGATGCTAAATGAAGAACTTCAATTTAATTATGGTCTTCCCGGTCACCTTTTTTATTTTGGTAAAAATAGAAAAAAGAAGAAAATTTATTAAGTAGCTATTTAACCTTGACATAAATCTCGTTATTCAACCCTCAGCCTCGGTTGAACCCTTGTCTCTTTACCTTTTGCAATCAATGCTCGGGTAGGTTTAAAAACATTTCAACATTGAAAAGTAATGCCTCTTTTAGTATTATTTTGACAAGTAGGTCTGTTTACTGTTTTAAATAACCAAATACGATGATAAGGGGCCAAAAGTTGAAGAAAAATAGGTGAGGGAACCGTAAGTGGAGAAAAGAGAATGAACTATGGGATTGGCCTTAATGGTAGGTCCCGTGCCTAGCTGGCATCTATCATTGGTGCAGGGCATGTTTTTGGGTCCACTAGGATGATTCCGGAGTGGTCTTGACAGTTGGTATCATTTCACAAGTTTAGATTTCTAACTGATGGCATTGAAACGATGCTCTTTTTCACCTTTGCACGTAACTCATCGTGCACTAACTTCATATTAAGGGTTCTGTGTACAAACTGCATCTAAACCTTGGATAAAGTCAAATGCATCAAGGGAGTTTAAAATAGAAAAACTTCAACATCTCTCAAATATATTATAATTTACAGTAGAAGTGACTGAAGAATAAAAACAACTCCAAAAATAAAGTTTACTACATTTTGATGCTCAATTCAGACACTTGAGCTTGTCTCCAAAGTTTTGCTGTTAAACCAACATTTTCTAGTCTGCAGTAGTGGATAATTCAGCCAGCTACACAGCACTGTAGATAACAGACCAAAATATATTTTATAAATTAATTGGTTTTTCAAATGCTTTCAAAATTTTCAAAATGAATGTTTTCTTTTCATTTGGTGTGAGAGTTCAAGAACACATACTTCTCAGTCACGGGTTTCCCTTTTTGGGATATCCCAAACTATTAAACAATTTCCTAAAATTAATGCTTCATTTCAATATTCTAATTTATCCTTGTGAAGTAGTAAATTATTCTGGTTTTTTCATATTTTTGAAGTTAAAAACACGTGACCTCACGCCACTTTACTTCGCGCATCAAAGAATATAACTTTTATTCTGATTAAGGGAGCATATTTAGAAGGGTAGTTAATTTCCCAGGAAAGCTTAAACGTCAACGTGAGCAATACTATCTCGCACTCAGCCTGGTATGACAGAACTAGTATGATTATAATGCCATTATTCAGATTGTTCCGGAGTTTCTGGGGTAAATATAGGCCGTCCATATAATGTAAGAGTTTCATGTCATATACGTAGATAAATTGAGAAGAAATAGCAACTCTGGTGACAAATCTTCAAAGCAACCTGTTGTCCACGTTCAAGTTTCTTTTTGAAACTAGTTTTTATGATGCGCTTTATAACATCAAAGACTTGTTAACAACGTGATATAAGATTATAAAGGGGGTTCAGAGGAGAGAGGTGTAGTTTAGACAAGCTTTTGAAAACAAGTATGAAAATGCAATTATATCCTCATTTCTTGCATTTTGTAATCTGATAACGATAACAACCACTTGAATTTTCAGGACATGTAAATAGTGTTATGAAGAGGCTTTCTTCCCAAAATTACTGTACTATATTCATGGTATTGATTATATGGAAGAACTACTAATTTATAAAATTAGTTTGACTATTATATAACAAAATGATCTTGCAAGTACATAGCTTGAGAAAACATCCAATGGGTTGTGCCTGAGTCAGAATATGAGTATTTATTTTTATTTCAATTTGCTATCTAAGCGTGCACACACACTTGAACCACACCATATCCTTGTATTTTTCAACGGTTCATCACCATGAACCTACCTAGTAGAATTTTAAGCTTATTGACATTCATATTTATCCTTTCAATCATATCACCGATCTTCGCTAACATACCATAATAATTTCCAATAGCAGGTTTCTCTTGGTCAGTGGCACCGCATTATTAATATTTTCCATTTACAACTGTTTCTCTAATTTCTTTTCTTAGATAATGTTATCGGATGTACTTACGTTATGCCTTCTGAAAGATTTTTAGCTTTTTCTTATTTTAGTTTCTGGATTTTCTCTCAGTTAAAACATCACAAAAATCTCTATGAAGGTTATGTCCCCATGAAGTACAGAAGCTATGTGAAGAAGATGAAAAAGTCAGATATCTCTAGACCTTGGGTATCAGTTTTCTTCATATTACACTATAAGATACATTATGTCTTATTGATATGATTTTACTTCATTAGGCTGGGGGAGTGGGGAGATCATGTTACTCTACAAGCAGCTGCAGACAGAGTAAGTTAAATTTTTTTATAAATATTCTAGTACTCTTAAGCTTAAGTATCTCCTTTTCCTTGTACTTATTGTGACTCAGATTGTTCATGTCACTAGACCTATATAGGTTTCATATAAAAGTGAAATGGTCTCATTAGAACATGTTAGAGGGAGAAGTAGATTGTTAAGGATTTAACTGTTTTGGATCTTCCAGTAGTTATAGCAACGAACCAAATGGAACGGTGAAAAATGATGTAGTCAACTCAAATCTATTGGGAAGAAGAATTGGTTTGTTGTCTGTATAATGTTCATGTCACTTGGAATATATAAAGAATGTCCTGTCTGTTTTTAAGGATGTAAATTAGGAAAGACAAGCTGAGCCGAGTACTAGGTTATCCAATCTTGTATTGATTTCTTAACAAACTTGAATATCATTTTAACATTCTTGTATCATAACAAGCCAATTAGAGGCAAGCTCGAATAGTTCTGTCACATCTATTTAACTTGTATGATTTGGCAATCTATGTCTAGCTTTTAATGAACAAATATTTGAGAGTTGAAAAGCATCCATTAAGTGCCAAATGTTTTGAACATTTGTTGGAAATATTGTTACACGCATATTAACACGCACTTTTGAATTTACTCTTCCAAGTTAGACAATATTAGTACTACAGTATTTCTATTTCAATGTCTGTGTTCCTTGTTATATTGGCACCTGACTTTTTTGAACTTTTTGTAGTTCGAAGCAAAAATTTGTTTAGTCACCTCTTTTCGGGACTCGGGCTATATTGAAATCCTTCCTAAGGACGGAAATCCATCTAGAGGTACACCTATTGTATTGTTTAATCTTGTTTTACTTTCTTCTTCATCTTATGATTTTTATGGCAAAAAAATGCAATAGTTGGGTGGTTTATGATTGTCAATAGTGACAGTAGCAATGGTTCTTTATCAGAAGGCGATGTTCGGGCAGTTTATATTCATTCAGAACCCTCGTATTTCTACTGTAGCTTCTCAACCCTCATCCTCTTTTCGATACAAAAGATTAAGAGCAAACCTTAAAATCCACAAAATGAAAAAAATAAGCCCATGTACAAGTATCATTAAAAAAATGAAACTAATATTTTTTTTATGTTTCCATTTGCCTATTGTGGATTATAAGTTGCACTTTATTATTTCCATTGACATTTTTGTTTATACTTGTGTTTTGAAGAGTTATGGTTGAGCTTTTGGAGTGAAGTTCACTACAATTCATTGTATCAAACTGGTGGTAAATATTTCTACTTCTATCTTTACATTTTAGGGTTCATAAAGTTTGAAATATTTGCACTCATAACTGGACACCTAACCCGCTTTTTTTTCCTGATATTTGACAGAGGTTCCTACAAGGGTAAACAGAAAAAAGCATTGGCTTTTCTAAAGCTTTCACTCAAATTTTCCTTGCTGGCGAAGAGCACGATATGTACACAACATTGTCGAGCGCCCTATACTCTTTCACTCGGTTAGTTGTTGATATACAAATAAAATTTCGAGGATTGGCATTCCATTGCTGTTTTTATTATGTATGTAGATGATTTCAAATATCTTTCAAACGTGTAATTTAGCACCTTACGATACCGCCAAGGGAGAAGCATATTGAGGTTGTTTTGCCATTCTTGATACCATATTATAAATAGAGTAGCATTTTCTATATTATTGTTGATACCATGTATAAAAGTTGTGATTCCCACCTCTTTCACGAACTATATGAAGGCATTCTACTTTCTTAGTATCGATTACTGACTTAACGGTCATCCACTCTTCTTGTGACAATGGCCCAAAGAATTAGGGGCCGTTCTCTTTGTGTTTCAATTTTGTGTTTTGTGTTTTGAATTCATTTTGTATTTTGTGTTTTGAGTGACTATTTTTAGGTTGTCGAAAACGCGCTCTTTTTGTCGTTTTGTAAAAATATTTCCCAAAACAATTTCTAAAAAACGCGTTCACATGTTTTTCATTTTCCATTCTCACTCAACCTGCCGGAAATCGCCCCCTCCAGAGAAACGTCTTCTCCCACACAATCCGACCACAACCCACCACCTAGACCACTAGATCCCAACATCATTCAAACTCCCGACCTCCCTCTACAACTTCAATCGATTATTTGTTCCAAAATCAGCCGGAATCAGCCAAAAACAACCGCGGTACCACTCACTGTTTCGGCCTATAAACACCGCCGCCGACCACCTTTCCGATCGCGGACCACCACCAATCCACTCCTCTGAACAAGGCGCATCCAATACTACCATGGGTCACCTTCGATTATTCCAGAATCGGCTGATCTGATCTTATGGAAACCACTTTCGGTACCACTCACTGTTTGAGGATTTTTTTTTTCGATTTTGCTATATGATTGAATTGTTTTTTGTGTGGTAATTGAAGAGGGGATTGAGGGATTCGCAATGGTATATAACTCCGACCGTTTTGGAGGAGGTTGGCCGGAGTTTAGAGGGGAAAGTGGCGGTGGAGTGGCAGAAGAAAGGAGGAGAGTTTTGGGCAGTTTCCGTGTTTTCAAGATTGTGTTCCCGTGTTTTCGAGTTACTGAAGGAAACGCCCAAAACGGCAATTCTACCGTTTTGTGTTTTCTGTAGGAATTTTTTTTTTGTTTTCCAAAAGTTGTTTTCGAAAATGACAAAGAGAACACGTTTTCGCCGTTTTGAAAAATCGAAAACAGAAAACGGCTTGAAAACGGCAAAGAGAACGGCCCCTTACTGTTCTGCTCTGAGAAGTGTCAATATCCAAATATATATATAAAAAAAGAAGTCCGAACGACATCCTCATAACATTGAGGTGAACAATAACATCGTCGTCACTGATGAGGTTGCTTGTTCAAAAGGATATGCTTTCTATATATGCTGTGTGGCTATTCTCATAGTCAAGTAGTGATAGGACCTGGACAATAAGATGGGATGGATGGGGAGTGGGTAGGTTGGGGATTAAGATAGAAATTTTTGGTTTTCTTTTCTTTTTTATCTTATCTGTATCCTTTTCTATTATTTTCTTCGGAGTGTTTGAATTATTTATTCTCTATTTATTTTAGCTAAAAATAAAGTTATTGTGGTGCTTTTAGCAAAAAAAAAAAGTAACTTTTCAAATGTCAAATAGGTGAAACTCACTACCCGAGATCTATATTGCACTAAAGAATAAATTTAAGTGTACAACATTGGTTTACAATAATCGTGGACAATCATGTATTGTCAAAATCATGCCATGTGATGTAAAAAATAGTTTTTTTTATAATGGATGGGTATGATGATGTCAAATAGGATGTTGTCATCTAATATTGTCAACTAATGTTGTACATGTGGCATGATTCCTGCACTAAAATAGTACTGCACTAAAAAAAGTAACAACTTGTCGATAGGTTGGAGACCAATGGTGCAATACTCTTAGATAGTTTTACTAAAGCTGTCGTTGAATCTTTCAATATAAACTCCTAATGATAAAAGCTTATACGGTCGATTCTAAAATATTGTAAGCAAAATTTAATTTGACGTTATTTGTCATTAATGTTACATTATCTAATTGTAGACTTCATTTTTAACTTCTAAGACAAAATATGTACCATCTTCAATGTGGTAATAAAGAAACTGTCAAATAATCTTTGCATATATAGTATGTTGTTAAAGAAACTCGTCAAATACATTTATCAATGGTACTTATTTGGGTATTTTGGAACACATGTCAGTTCGAGGTGGATTTAGAGAACGTGTGCTTATATTTAATCCAAACGGTTTTTTTTTTTTTTTTTTCAAAGCAAATCAACAACCTCGAAAATGAAACTAGAGAGAAGTGCATTATAAAGAATTCAGTCAAAGCATGAGCTACACGGTTTAAAGAATATGCCATATTACGAAGGGCGTAGCATTTTCTAAATATGTGATGATACCATCTATAAAAGTTTCATGAATCATATGAAGGCATTCTACCTTCTTAGTATCAATTACCGACTTAACGATCATCCACATTTCTTGTGATTAGGGGTGAGCAAAATCCGACCGAACCTGCCAAAATCGTCCAACTGAACCAACCCAACCAGTTTGAGTCGATTTTTTTGTTGTTTTTACACGAGTTAGGTGTGTTGGTTGTGTAGGCGAATTGGGTTGGGTCGGATTATAGGTTAACTCATGAAAATCGAATAAACTCGTCCAACCCAACCCGACTATATTTATGAACTTTACAAGTGTTATGATATTGCTTGGAAGTTCTTCGAATAATATTATAAGATTTAGATATAATGCATTTTACGAAAAATAGTTAAGCAAATACACATTCAACACAAAAACATTTTATTTGCCAAAAATATTTCTTGGCTTTATATAATTTAATATCAATCAGTCAATGTAACATTTCCGGGCATGAAGTGCCAAAATAATTCAATTTTTTTGTTCATTGCACCTATGAAGACCTAATATTATACAAGTCACGAGTCAATTATAAATCCGTTCAACTCGACCCGCCTACTTTAATCTTTGTTGACAAGTTGTCCCAACCTGACCCACCCAACCCCATCGATATTTGATTGGGTTGGGTTGGGTTGGGTTGAGTTTCAACATTTACACGGGTTGTTTTAGGTTAAATTATGATCAAATCGATCATGTTGAGTTGTGTTTGAGTTGAGACAAAAATCTAATCAATCCAACCTATGCCCACCCATACTTGTGATAATGGCCCAAAGAACGTGTATTCTATTATGAGCAGTATCGATATTCAAATAATAAAAAAAAAGTCCAAACTACACCCTCGCAACATTGAGGCGAATAATAACAAGGCCATCATCGTCACCAATGAGGTTGCTTGTTCAAAAGAATATGCTTTCCATAAATGCTGCATGGCTATTCTCATAGGGAAGGAGTGATAGGGCTTGGACAATAGGATGGGATGGAATGGATGGAGAGTGGGTAGGTTGGGGATGAAGATAGAATTTTTTTGGTTTTCTTTTTTATCTTATCTGTATCCTTTTCTATTATTTTCTTTGGAGTGTTTGAATTATTTATTCTCTATTTATTTTAACTAAAAATAAAGTTATTATAGTACTTTTGGCCCCAAAAAAATAAAATAAAATAAATTTATATATAAAATACTAATGATAAAAGCTCATATGGTCGATTCTAAAATATTGTAAACAAAATTTAATTTGATGTTATTTTTCATTAATGAAATTACATTATCTTATTGTAGACTTCATTTATAACTTAAAAAAACAAAATATGTACCATTCAAGATGATTAGTACTAAGCAAGAAAAGAAAATTCGATTATGAAAAAACTCGAAGAATGCAGTCAAAACTTGCCCTTAAGAGTACGCAACACTCCTCCAAATACTAGTATAAAAATTGAACAATGCTACATTGCCGGGGGGGGGGGAGTGACACCCCCCCCCGACAGATTACTCACATGGGGGGAGATATGGTGGGAAATGTGTGGTTGAAAAAAAAGAAAAAATTATTGATGTGATTGAAAATATTATTTTATTGAAGAATGTATGGTTGAAAATGAGAATTGATTTACTGTAGAAAAATCTAATCCCTTCCAAAAAAAAGCCTTAATATGTTGTTAAAGAAACTTGTCAAATACATTTATTAATGGATGCGGAATACTTATTTGGGTATTTTGGAACACATTTCAGTTCGAGGTGGATTTAGAGAACGTGTGCTTATATTTAATCCAAACGGTTTTTTTTTTGTTTTTTCAAAGCAAATCAACGACCTCGAAACTGAAACTAGAGAGAAGTGCATTATAAAGAATTCAGTCAAAGCATGAGCTACACGGTTTAAAGAATATGCCATAGTACAAAGGCCGTAGCATTTTCTAAATACGTGATGATATCATCTATAAAAGTTTCATGAATCATATGAAGGCATTCTACCTTTTTAGTATCGATTACCGACTTTACGGTCATCCACATTTCTTGTGATTATGGGTGAGTAAAATCCGACCGAACCTGCCAAAATCGTCCAAACTGAACCAACCCAACCGGTTTGAGTTGATTTTTTTGTTGTTTTTACACAAATTGGGTGGGTTGGTTGTGTAGGCGAGTTGGGTTGGCCCCCCAAAAAAAAGAAGTGACTTTTCAAATGTCAAATAGGTGAAACTCACTACTGGAGATCTATATTGCACTAAAATAGATAAGTCATAACAACTTTGTCGTTAGGTTGGAGACCGATGGTGCAATACTCTTGGACAATTTTACCAAGTGCTTGTTTGGTAAATATTAAAATTGAAAATATAGTCGTTGTTTGGTCTCACTCGTCTAAAAAAAGTCAATAATAACGACTAATTTTTCAATTTTAATCTATACCGAACACCCTATAAAGCTCTCATTGAATCTTTCTATATAAACTATTAATGATAAAAGCTCATATGATCGATTCTAAAATATTTT